TTGCTAAATCAACATTTTTTAATAAGAGTTGATTGTTCTGCAGCCAAACAAATTTTCAAAAAAGATGTACAGAATTTGGCTCAAAAACAAATTTTTGCCGCATGGCAGGGCCAACTTTCAGTATTTGATTTTGATATTGAATATATCAAAGGAGAAAATAATTCTCTTCCACACTTTCTAACCCGCGACTATTTTCAGGGTCCAAATAATGTAGAATAGAGGCCGAGGCCCGGGTAGACGGGGCCGTGGCAGGGGCTCAAACTCTTATCATACAGAATTTCCAGGCTTATATGCCTCTTCCAGTAAAAAAGGGGAATCTAGCCAAACGGCTAAAGATGTCCTTCTTGCTCCTCCAGTACCATATGTCCAGAATTTCATTACTGAGGAAACAGTCCTCTATATTGAAAATACAGATATCCAATGGATGAAAGATCCATGGACATAGAGCAAGAGGGTCCGAATAAGTGTCCGAGTGCTAGTACCCTAATGCATCAGAAATGGTAAACACCATAATTACATATCTGCCATCGTGCAAGAGGGTCCGAATAAGTGTCTGATTATTCGAACCCAAACGCGAGAGAAATGGTGAGTAAGCGCCATAATTACAAATCTCCCATCATGCAAGACGGTCCGAATATGTGTCCGAGTGTTCGAACCATAATGCATGAGAAATGGTAAGTAACACCATAATCACATATCTTTCATCATGCATGAAGGTTCGAATAAGTCTCCGAGTGTTCGAACCCTAATACATGAGAAATGGTAAATAAACACCATAATTACATATCTTCCATCATGCAAGAGGGTCTGAATAAGTGTCCGAGTGTTCGAACCCCAATGCATGAGAAATGGTAAGTAACACCATAATTACTTATTTGCCATTATGCAAGAGGGTCTGAATAAGTGTCTGAGTGTTCGAACCCAAATGCATGAGAAAAGGTAAGTAAACACCATAATTACATATCTGCCATCGTGCAAGAGGGGCTGAATACCTGTCCGAGTGTTCGAACCCAAATGCATGAGAAAAGGTAAGTAAACACCATAATTACATATCTGCCATCGTGCAAGAGAATCTGAATACGTGTTCGAGTGTTCGAACCCAAATACATGAGAAATGGTAAGTAAACAACATAATTACATAGCTGCCATCATGCAAGAGTGTTCGACTAAGTATCCGAGTGTTCGAACCCTAATACATGAGAAATGGTAAGTAAACACCATATTTACATATCTGCCATCATGCAAAAGAGTTCGAATGTTCCAACCCTAAGGCATGTGAAATGGAAAGTAACACCATAATTACATATCTGCCATCATGCAAGAGGGTCCAAATATGTGTTCGCGCGCTCGAACCCTAATACATGAGAAATAGTAAGTAAACAAAATAATTATATATCTGCCATCGTGCAAGAGGGTTCAAATAAGTGTCCCAGTGTTCTAACCCAAACGAATGAGAAATGGTAAGTAAACACCATAACTACATATCTGCCATCATGCAAGAGGGTCCTATATATGTGTCCGAGTGTTCGAACCCTAATACATGAGAAATGGTAAGTAAACACTATAACTACATATTTGCCATCATGCAAGAGCGTCCGAATACGTGTCCAAGTGTTCGAAGTCTAATGCATGAGAAATGATAAGTAAACACCATAATTATATATTTGCCATCATGCAAGGGGGTCTGAATATGTGTCCGAGTGTTCGAACCATAATGCATGAGAAACGGTAAGTAAACACCATAATTACATATCAGCCATCACACAAGAGGGTCCGAATAAGTGTCCGGGTGTTCGAATCCCAATGCATGAGAAATGGTAAGTAAACATCATAATTACTTATCTGCCATCATGCAAGAGGGTCCGAATAAGTGGCCGAGTGCTAGAACCCTAATGCATCAGAAAAGGTAAACACCATAATTACATATCTGCCATCATGCAAGAGGGTCTGAATAAGTGTCCGAGTGTTCGAACCCCAATGCATGAGAAATGGTAAGTAACACCATAATTACTTATTTGCCATTATGCAAGAGGGTCTGAATAAGTGTCCGAGTGTTCGAACCCCAATGCATGAGAAATGGTAAGTAACACCATAATTACTTATTTGCCATTATGCAAGAGGGTCTGAATAAGTGTCCGAGTGTTCGAACCCCAATGCATGAGAAATGGTAAGTAACACCATAATTACTTATTTGCCATTATGCAAGAGGGTCTGAATAAGTGTCCGAGTGTTCGAACCCCAATGCATGAGAAATGGTAAGTAACACCATAATTACTTATTTGCCATTATGCAAGAGGGTCTGAATAAGTGTCCGAGTGTTCGAACCCCAATGCATGAGAAATGGTAAGTAACACCATAATTACTTATTTGCCATTATGCAAGAGGGTCTGAATAAGTGTCCGAGTGTTCGAACCCCAATGCATGAGAAATGGTAAGTAACACCATAATTACTTATTTGCCATTATGCAAGAGGGTCTGAATAAGTGTCCGAGTGTTCGAACCCCAATGCATGAGAAATGGTAAGTAACACCATAATTACTTATTTGCCATTATGCAAGAGGGTCTGAATAAGTGTCCGAGTGTTCGAACCCCAATGCATGAGAAATGGTAAGTAACACATGCATTAGAAGCATGCCAAGAGCAAGGCCATCAAAAACAAAAAAAATCCTACCTCTTGTTAAGTACTTAAAGAAAAGTGAATTTTCCGAAAAGCTATTGAATTATCCTACCTCTTGTGAAAATATGCTACCTCTTAAATTATCCTACCTTTTGTGAAAATACACAAGAGGTAGGATAAGCTGTTGAATTCAAAAGGTAGGATATAATATAATATAATATACTATAATATAATTCAAGAGGTAGGATATAATATAATTCAAGAGGTAGGATAAGCTGTTGAATTATCCTACCTCTTATTAAGTATTACATGCTGTGTATTTTCACAAGAGGTAGCAAAAGCTGTGAATTTTCTCTAAGTGCTAATAAGTTGCAATATAATAAGTTGCAACATTGGCCCAAAGCCTATAGTTGCAATATAATCACATGCATCTCCAAGTTGATATAATGTGCTAAAATTAGCACTGTTTTCAAACAGCCCACCTACCTCTTGTTAGGTTTATGATGTGTATTGTGCTAATTAGAGTTAGTTCAGGTAAAAGCAACTAGTATAAGTGTTGTATGATTATGTGGCTATAAGTTGATGTATGAAAATACATGGAAAAAAAGCTAAAAATATAAATTAAAAAATTTGGCAGGTTGCTACCTTCTTTGCTTTTTTTTTTTTTTTTTTTTTTTGCAGAAGAAGAACGAAGACGGGAAGGGGGAGGAAGAAGGGAGGGAGGAGGAGGAGGAGAAGGAGGACTGGAGGGGGTATAATATTCGGGAGAGGAGGAGGCGGACGCGGGGCGACGGTGGTTGGAGGCTGCAGCGGGGCTGGGCTGGGCGACGATCGGCGGCAGGGCGGGGCGACGATCGTCTTCTCTCTCTCTCTCTTCCCCTCTGCTTCTCTCTTTCGCTCCCTCTCTCTCTCTGCTTCTCTCTTTCTCTTCCTCTCCCTCTGCTTCTCTCTTCCCCTCTGCTTCCAAATCGAGCCATTCGGGGCAAATGTTTCGCGCTACGAAACATCTTCCTAATAAAAAATAAACATCAAATACAAGTTAAGGCAAAAAGGTTAATAAAGCACCTAAAAACCAAAAAAAGTGCCAAATTTTTATTTATTTATTTTTATTTTATGGAAGAGAAGAAGATTTAAAATTATTTTAATCATTAAATTTGCTTAAAATGAAGAGATAGAAACTAAATGGGTAAATAACACTTACCCACCCCTATACCTGCAATTTGATTCTTTAATCCTATTAATCTAATGTTTTAAATTTAAATTTAATTTCAATTTGATTATGTCGTTCAAATTAGATACTCAAATTTATGAATTTTTAAAAACAGACACTTATATAAAAAATTAACATTAAAAAGAAAAAAACATAATGACAAATTAAAACAACAAAAATTAAAATGAAATTTAGATAAATATGTAGAAATGAAAAGTACTATAATTTACCCAAACTAGATAATGGGTAAACAACTCCCTTAATGACACCCATAAACATAGAATATCACAAGTTAAACTAATATCTAAGATATTGAAGCACAATGTACAACACTTAAAGCACAAGGTATCACAAAAATATCTCAAATTTTAAGTCTTACCATTTTGCATGGCCACTTTTTATGGATAAACAACTCCTTTAACATAGTGGTTGTTTGGGATGATCTAAATAAGTGTACTTTTTATCTTTTTACGAAAAGATGTGTAGAAAAGTAGAGAGGTGATGTGATGAAAAAAAGATAAAAAGATGAATTATTTTGAACTTTCCAAACTTGGCCTTAGAATATGAAAAGTTAAACTAATACCCACGATGTTGAAAAACAGTGTACAACACTTAAAAGCACAAAGTATCACAAAGTCTCAAATTTTAAGGGCTTGTTTGGTTTGTTTTTGGGAGAGTAGTTTTTGAAAATTATTTTGGAGAGAGTTTTTAGGAATTTTTTTAGTTTGTTTAGTTGTATATTTTGAAAGTAGTTTTAGAGTTTTGGAGTTTGTAATGATTTGACATTTTATTTTAATTGAGTAGATGTGTGTGAGAGAAAAAGTAATTGAGAATGAGAGAGGAGAGAGGAGAGAGAAAAAGTGATTGATTGATAGGTAAGAGAGAGAAAATGATTTTGAAAATAATTTTGAAAAATTTACAAACCAAACAAATTTTCTAAAATTTTTTTTCCAAAATCATTCTAGAAATTCAAACCAAACATACCCTAAGTCCTCATCATTTTTCATGACCACTTTTTACTTTTTCTAGGTCACAAATCTTTTATATCTTCTCTCTTTTATATCTTCTCTCTACCTTCTTAATATTCTCCTCTCTTGAATCAAGTTTTTGAATGAGTTTTCTTGTGCTCAAAGAAAAGTCTTTCATAAACAAATCCAAATAGAATAGGTAAATAAAAGTTTTCTCAGTCAATTTCCTCATGAAGATCACATTGACTTCAGGAATATATCAGATCCAACACAAAAACCTTGAAAACCCACTTAGGGTTTTGAGTGTTTTGCATTTGGGGCTCTAATAATTTACTTATTTTATTATCTTTACTGTTGGTTTGTTTCTAACCTCTCTCTTCATTTATTTTAGCACTGATTTACTCATGTTTGCTAGTTTATTTATCATTATTTGCTTTGGATGTATCTGAAATTTTGTTTTTTTATTTTATAAAAACTTTTGGTAACATTAACAACCATGATTGCGTTGAAATCTCTGCAACTTACCATCAACTTCGTGGGTGAACCTTTTTTTATTTGTAATATTTTATATTTCTTTGTAAATGGATATTTATGTTTGCATACATATATCTGGATTATTATATTATAGGGTATTGTTTATTATGTAAGAAGATGGACCATAGGCTTTTTCTACTAGTGAGATTTATTTATTATTTATTTTTACTTTGTTCAACTTGGGTTTTGTTTCACGTTGTTTGAAGGCAAATATTTTATTTATTTTTTAAATTTTTGCTTATTTTTGGGTGATGGCGGGTTTAGGTGGGTTTGCATTTCATCTATTTTTTGGGTTGCTTTAGTGCTTGTGATTGTGGGTGTGCGTATATATATATTTGTACAAATTTTTTCCTTATTTTTTTATCTATTTCATTTAATTTTTGATACAATATCAGGTTGGAGGCAGTAATGATCTGCATTGCATTTTACATTGGTTTTGATCCATTGGATGGTGTTTTAAATGCTGGGATTTTAAACATATCTCTTATTATCAGAGCAAATGGGTGTCCTCTTTTCCCTATTTTCTTTAAAGGGTTTGCACATTTGTGTTTGAATGGCTTTATTCTAAAATATGTGTGTGTATTTTTGTTTTTGTTTTGTTTTTTTTTTTTTTTATGTGTGTGTATTTTTGTTTTTTTTTTTTTTTTTTTTTTTTTTGTGTGTTCTGTGCGAGTCCTTTTTGATGTTTGATGGAGGTTGAATGAGATCGTCAGGAGATGAAAGCTCGAGTGTGTTTTACTAGGATTTCCTTAGCAGTTACTTTGAATAAGAGCATTTGCTATATAATCCTCTTGGAAATGCAGTGGACACATGTCAAACGTGTATTCATTAGTAATAATTGATATGGCGTACGTGGCCTAGATTGATCAAGCACACAGAAATTTTTCAGCAATTCCATACTTGTTAGGCTATAAACAAAATGGATGATGAGTAATAGTAGTAATATGTGTTAAAAGTCCTGTGATATATGATATTTATTAAGCTTCATCAATCACAACAATTGTTGATAACAAAATATATATAGTTGATGAGTCAGACATAATAACAGGGTTGTTGTGCCATATCATTTTCTTATGAATGTCAAAAACGTTTATTTCTTGGTTTATTTTCATTTTTAGATCAGTCAACGTTTAGGATTATAGATCAATTCAGTTGTATGCTTCATTTTTAGATCATTCAACATTTAGGATTATAGGATTAGTGTCTCGTGCAAATAATTCACTGTATTGTCCATTCCACATGACTGATGAAATGAGCTGAGATTAATTTGAATAGGGTTTGAAGTAAAATTTTATCATTTCATGTAAGCTTCTCCATTTATGACTTGATTATTGAGATGCCGTTTAATTCCTTTTATGCTACGCCATATTTATGCTTATGATTCCATTTTCTATAATGAAGCCATCCGAATCCCATTTTATTCACTGCTTCAGTTGCTATGGAAATCTTATTTATTTCATTCCCATAGGATGCCAATGTGCTTTTGTTGATTATTTCCGGTTTATGGCTGGATTTGTTTTATTTTACATTTTCTTTTCCTGTAATTTGCATATCTTTGTTGTCCTTATGTTGATGTCTTCTTCATTTCTCTTATTTATTTATTTTTTAGTAAATGCCCATACTTATCTGTTTGTATCATTGGGTGAATTTGTGCTTGTGACTGTTCCTGTTCCTGTTCCTGTTCCTGTTCTCCAAAGAAATTTCTCTATGCTGAGAACGGAGTTATTGTTTTTCTGTTTTTTGTTGATGATTATTTTTTTTATTCTTCATGATTCTGCAAATTATCTGGTTGTTTGGGATATTATTTTCACTTATTTTAAAAATTTGGATGTTCAGGGCCCATGGTAGTAAGTAAAGGTAAGGGGCTATAATTTTTCGACATTGGGTTGTTTTACTTGGCATATTGGTGATGGCACCAAGTTCAAAAATTGCAAAGGCCTGCAAGGCAATGAAGGTTATTGGCATTTCTGAAGAAACCGTTAAACCAGTTTTAAAGAATCTTTTGGATGTGTATAACAAAAACTGGAAGCTTATTGAAGATGAAAACTACAGAGTTCTTATCGATGCTTTGTTTGACCACGAGATCCCAAAGGTGTGCCTTCTCGCTTGAGTTTACGTGATTATTTTTTAGCATTGCAGGTTGCTCATTTATTTAAGAGCTTATTGTTTTATTTTACATATTTCATTGCTTTCATTTACCCATTGTGGAAGAGAACTGTGACAATGTTAAACCCATAATTTGTATTATGTGCCACTTAAGGTGGACTCATTGGTCATACTTCATAACCTTCTCAATTTTATTTCATCTGTTTCTCATTCTGTGTAGAAAGGGGAAACGAGAAAACATGAATCTTGGTCCAAAGTTGAACCTGAAGAAAGTGAACCACCATTAAAAAGAACTCGATTGAGAGGCCAAACAGATCAGTCTTCATCCTCTGCTGGTAATCACAGCCCAGGTCTTGGAAAAACTTTTGGAAGGACACCAAAGGAGGCTTATGTGTCTCAAACTCATTGCAAGGAGAAAATAGATGTGTCCCCTCATCTGTGTCTCGTAGACAAAAAATTTGAATCAAGTCCATCTGAGCAGTTCTCTAGTGACAGAAGAACCAAACCTGAACATCTTTCATCTCCAACACATGTGCAAGATGATGAAGAGGTAACTCAGTTTCAGTTTGTTCAAAAGGGGAAAAAATTGAAATGCGAAAGAGACACACAATGCTTTTCCTATGAAGAGCCAAAAGGTATACCTGTTGTGGATCTTTCTGATGAGGAGAGTGTGCTTGATAAACATCATAACAATGCTGTTATTATCAAACGTGAAAGAGATGCTGATGAGCTGCCACAGTTTGATGTTCCTCTTGCTATTGTCCGCCCAGGTTTGCAACTATCTTAGTAGCTAGCTAACATTTGCAAAATATCAAACAGGCGTTCTAGAAGATTGAATTCTGTAGTTATGATTCTCATTAGATCTGGAAAGTTGTTTGCCGCGATAATGATTGGTCATGCTACTCAGAGCTCTCTGTCACTGCACATGCATATTAAAGCCATGGCAGCAAGTGATTTTAACGAACATAGTTAGCTAGCAGTATGCTGATTTCTTTCTTTTCACACAAGTTAGGTGGGTTTTGATTGGCTAAAGTTTATCATCTGATGTATGTTTCTGGGTCAACTGGCATATCATTTTGGCAACATGTGTGAACAAGCATCGTCTAAAGCTGAAGTAGGAAAAAGGGAATTCTAACTTTCGAGGTGGTTCTGCATGTCCCAAAATTAAAATTCTGGATTGTTGAATATCTGACATCTTTTAAAGCCTTGTACTGCAAGTGAAATTAAGGCTACTCTATCTATTTTTAAGAATAAATAAATAAATAAAAAGAAAAAAAAAATCTGACACCTTTTAAAGCCTTGTACTGCAAGTGAAATTAACATGGGAGCAACTTGACTTTGATTGTGTTTGTTGTTTAATTTCTGTGTCTCAATTTGATCACAATCTCTTTGTTTCAAGTTTTTTTCGGCCAATTAATTATTTTTGTTCTTCTTCCTTTGCATTTCTAGAAGTTCATGCATATTATCTAAATGTCCTTGCTTTTTGATTTGCATTGTATTCACCAAATGACTTTGTGCATGCAGCGGCTCCTCTCAGTTTGGCACATGAAGATGGTTTTACAAATGGGAGTTCTTCAAATGTTAGAGAAAATGACGGGGAATTCTTGGGAACAAAGCAACTAAATTCTGAAGTTGTAGGTAAGGCTCACTCACATGCATGTGCATGTGCCTGCATATTACTACCACCAGTTTTAACAGTATAAAAAAAAAGGGAAAGATAAAAAAATATTGAATTATCTGTTTGATGATGTCACTTTCTTTAGTCTAAATAGCCACTATTTTATTTATAAGTTTCTTGGGTTGACGGCATTTCATTGTAAGTTTATTGGATTGAGGGAATGCTCTACATTTGCAGCTACTTGTGCTGCCCGAAACTGAAAATTTGTTGATGTCTCTTTTTGATATATGGCATAGTCCTTGCTGCTGAAAGTGAGATTGGCGCTATACTGCAATAAATTTGATTTCCACGTGCAGGAAACCTAATATGATTGTGATTTCTTTCTTTCGTTCTTTCTATTCTGCTGATTGGGTTCATTTTTATTTTACTTTTTCCTTTTAACAATTCTGAAACTTCAGGCAAATATGATAGTGCTTTCGAGTCATATAAATAGCCATCGCTTTGCGTCATTTTTTTATATATTAAATGTTTGGATTTTAACTAATGCACCTTTGACTGGTGACTTTCTCTGTATAGTTCCTCCCACTCTGCTGTTATTATGTGAAGATGGTTCTTCAAATGAGAATTGTTCTGATGTTGAACGAAATGGGTTGGAGCTCCTGGAATATAAACAGTTGGATACAGAGGACAAAGGCGATGATTGTGCATCAGATTCATCACAATTTGACATTGCTTCCTCTCCTCAGGGAAATGTGAAAATTTCCCTGATCTGTAACTCTTCTCGGCAATCTGGTTTTCGTATTCCAAGTTTAGATGCAGTTTTGAAATTGGTGGAGGAGAAATATATTAAAACATACAGAATTACTGAACCTGGTTTCTCTGTGGTGAAGCTGATGAAAGATGTCTGTGAATGCTTCTTGGCAGAAGGCACCAATTGTACTGATGATGGACAAGTAAGATCCACAAATTTAACATCATCACTTGCTATATCTAAGAAATTAAGTGCACAAGATGTTCTGTGTGGCAGAGTCTATGAAGGCAATTTCTGCATTCCACCAAGCTTTCCAAACGAACCATTTAGATTTAGGAATTTTATTGAGGTGCTTCCCCAGATTCCTAGGGTTCTTACTTCAACTAGTTCCAATGTTCTTAACTACATTACAGAGTTGAATGTAAATGGGAATAGCTATTGCGGAAGGGATATAAAGATTAAGGCACTGGAAGGTTTAGGACCTTCGAATCCAAGCAGTCTGGTGGTTGTTCAGAAACACAACTCATGTCTTGATCCTTTAAAGGTTTCACATCACATTGATGACATTACCAAAGGTGCAGAGAATGCTAAAATCTCATTGGTAAATGAAATTACTGATGAGTGTCTGCCAGAATTCCACTACATTCCAAGGAACATAGCTTATGAAAATGCATGTGTGAAGTTCCTTCTTGCTCGTATATCGGATGAAAATTGTTGTTCAAATTGTGTTGGGGATTGTATGTCACTTATCGTACCTTGTGCTTGTGCTGGTGAGACAGGGGGTGAGTTTGCTTACACACATGGCAGGCTAGTTGAGGAGAAGTTTCTGGAGAAATGTATTTCACTGAACTGTGATCCTGGACAGCACCGCCTGTTTTATTGCAAAGATTGCCCTCTAGAAAGGTCTAAGCATAAAAGGGTATCTGGCCCATGCAAGGGCCATTTAGTGAGACAATTTATAAAAGAGTGCTGGTACAAATGCGGATGCAGTATGAAGTGTGGAAACCGCTTGGTTCAGCAAGGCATAACAGTGAATTTGCAGGTCAGATCTTCAACATCTCTTTCTTTGACTTAAAATTTTAAAATGGTGCAATAATTTATTACAAATTCGTTGGAAGATTTATATTTTCAAGTAAAAGACACATTTCATAGTAAAGATTACATATATGCATTCTTGATGTTTTAGGTGTTTATGACACCCAAAAAAGGTTGGGGTGTTAGGACACTTGAGGACTTACCGAAAGGTACTTTTGTATGCGAATATGTGGGAGAAATTGTGACCAACACAGAGCTATTTGAGAGAAATACTCAAATGAGTGGAAGAGAGAAGCACACGTACTCTGTGCTACTAGATGCGGACTGGGGTTCAAAGGGTGTGCTAAAGGATGAAGAGGCTCTCTGTTTGGATGCAACAGTCTATGGAAATGTTGCAAGGTTTCTCAATCACAGGTACTTCAATGCTGTAAGTAAATACCTTTGTAATGTCACGTGTCTTTGCAATGCTTTGCCATGAGTATCAATCTGAAAATAATAAAAATAAAATAAAAATTGTCCAGAAAATGCTGGTTTTACGCTAAATTTGGTTATTTTGATGCATTTGTCTGAGAAACATGAGGCTCATTTAGCTGCTGCACATGAAGGTTCTATCATTGTGGAGTAAATGACAACTTTTCAGAGGAGACATTGATATCTATGTCAGGGGGCTCTTACATTTCACCACAAGAAATTCATTTAACTTTCTCCAATTAGGGAAAGCAAGAAGAGGAAAGAATGAGTTTGGGAAAAAACAAAAGTTCTCATGCATCCATGATTTTAATATTCTTCTACTTAATCAGTTGCTGTAGGCAACAAATCTCTCCTAGTACTTATTAAATCTTAGTCCTATAGTATCTTTCCTTTTTTTTGGGAGGATAAGTTTTTAGTCACGTAGTTTTGTTTTCCCTATTCTCTCTCTCTCATTTATTTAGTTTTGTAATTTTGTCGTGAACTTTTATGTAGTGTCACATTGTCATGTTGACTCTTTGTTTAACTTTATGAGAGGGAAAAAAATCTTCCGTCTTTTTTTTAGTAAGGATTTTTTTGAAAGTTTATGTATCTGAATTATGCATTTTGTTGATTAGATGTTTTGATGCTAACTTGGTTGAGATCCCAGTTGAAGTTGAGACACCGGACCATCACTACTATCATGTATGGAATCTTAGCATTTCATTCCTGTTAATCTCTCTCTCTCTCTGCAAATTTTGGGGATTAATCCAAATATTGTCTTATTTCTTTGTAGCTTGCTTTTTTCACAACAAGAAAAGTTGATGCTTTGGAAGAGTTAACATGGGTAAGTAGGTGGTATATATGTACTGTGCTCATTGAGATGCAGCTTTGATCCATTTGACATAGATGCTCCAAAAAACCCCTTCCAAGCTTCGATTTATATTTTGCTACCTCAAATATCTGAGTTTGAGCTTAGAATCAACTAATTTAAGACTTGTTTTATATACTACTAAGGTATGACTTTACTTTTTTATATATTTTTATCCCTTATTTATTTTTATAATAATTATTTTTCTTAATAAAGGATAGATTCACTGTTTCTACCTAATTGCACTAGGTTCAAGTTAAATATATTACAATTTGTAGATGAATCTGTAAATTCTATGTTTGGATTTTCTAATCTACTGGCTTAAACTTTTCTTCTATGTTTTATATTTTTATATATGTTTTTTTAATGTTTTTTGTAAAAAGTCTAGATTTTACATCTTGATGAAAACATAAATCCTCATGTTCCTCATTTTTTTTTGAGTTTTGTCATTCAACTGTTCCCTATCGTGTAATTACTATTTTTTATGTTGTAATTTAATTATTATCTGCTTGTGAACTTAATATTCTACTGGTAATTTATATATAACAAATTATTACGTAAACTATATCAACATAATAGATTTTTTATTTTGATTACTTATGTTGATATAGATGCTTTGTGAACATGTACATTTATGCGCGCGCACACACACACGTATATATATATATATATATATGTTGATTAAAACATGGTTTTTAAAATGTATTCGGCAAGTTTGATAAATTTTCATCTTCAAGTGCATCTATATAGCTATAATAAACGTAGCAGAAAGTAAAAGACAGGAAACATTTATCTTGGCAATGACTTAAAGAACAACATAAAATCCGTTATCCATATTAAATCATGCTCATGACCTGAATAATTTCATTAAAAATTCAAATTTGAAATTTGAGGGCTGAAACTTTTCAGCCCTCCATCCTTATTATTTTCTCTCAATTCTTTATCCATGTTTCTTTACTATTGGCTGTAAACAATTTGTACACAATCAATTGCAGGACTACGGTATCGACTTCAAAGATCATAGTCATCCAGTGAAAGCATTCCATTGTTGTTGCGAAAGCATGTTTTGCCGAAATATGAAACATCCAAAGAGTTAGTATATATTTCTGCAACCATAAAGCCTAAATATTTACCTTTTTGTTCTTCTTATGGACAGCAGAATCTAGTGCTTCATGAGTGTATGTTTATGGAAGATAATAAGCAGTATATTTCTTGGTAGCATTTCCTGACTGTTTGAGGCTCTGGAAACCGATCATTTCACTTGTTGGGAGTCTGTGTGACTGAAATGCTTGTTGCACTTAGAAATTTGATACTTAGAGTTGGTTTGGCAAATGCTTTTTTACTAGCTTTTTTCTTTTTTCTTTTTGTTCTTTTTTACTTTTTAGGATAAAGTTATTGCTAAAAAAGTTAATGCGTTTGGCAAATGCTGAAAAAGTTGTTTTCATTACTGTGAAAGTTTGATTAGGGTTTGGAGTTTTATAGTTTCATACCATCTGTACCTTTTTATAAATCTCAAAGTACAACGTACTCCTCAATCAAAATGGGCAAAAACGTTCCTATTGTTGGAGCATGACTTTTCTAATGATACTGAATTAGTGCATTACTATTTAAATTTGTATGTGCAATATGTTGCTTAAGCAGAGTACGCATGTAGTTGACATCTGATTGTTGTAAGAGGTTAGTCTTTTAGTTTCCTGTTGATTCAAGTAATATTAAAAATTGTTAGGTTTAATATAAATCTTTTATTTTGAGAAACATGTGAATGGCGTTGAACCAAATTTATTAATTTTTTTTTTTTATATAATCTATGTGGATTGAATTCTAATTGCATTTTCCATTTTGCGGTACAGGAAATAGATCCAGTTCATGAATTTTCAAGTGCTCACAAGGAAAATATTACTGAGGAAGCTAGCTGTGGCTCTCTCTCAAATCATTTCACTTGTTGGGAGTCTGTGTGACTGAAATGCTTGTTGCACTTAGAAATTTGATACTTAGAGTTGGTTTGGCAAATGCTTTTTTCGTAGCTTTTTTCTTTTTTCTTTTTGTTCTTTTTTACTTTTTAGGATAAAGTTATTACTAAAAAAGTTAATGCGTTTGGCAAATGCTGAAAAAGTTGTTTTCGTTACTGTGAAAGTTTGATTAGGGTTTGGAGTTTTATAGTTTCATACCATCTGTACCTTTTTATAAATCTCAAAGTACAACGTACTCCTCAATCAAAATGGGCAAAAACGTTCCTATTGTTGGAGCATGACTTTTCTAATGATACTGAATTAGTGCATCACTATTTAAATTTGTATGTGCAATATGTTGCTTAAGCAGAGTACGCATGTGGTTGACATCTGATTGTTGTAAGAGGTTAGTCTTTTAGTTTCCTGTTGATTCAAGTAATACTAAAAATTGTTAGGTTTAATATAAATCTTTTATTTTGAGAAACATGTGAATGGCGTTGAACCAAATTTATTATTATTTTTTTTTAATATAATCTATGTGGATTGAATTCTAATCGCATTTTCCATTTTGCGGTACAGGAAATAGATCCAGTTCATGAATTTTCAAGTGCTCACAAGGAAAATATTACTGAGGAAGCTAGCTGTGGCTCTCTCTCAATCACTCCCTCTTATAGAGCAGTCTTATAATTGATGAAAATACATATTACAAATAGTTGTAATGAATTCTGATTTCGCCTTTATGATACTGTGGCAAAGGCTAATAGAATTATATATATACATAGATTAATAGAATATTATTACAAATAGTTGTAATGAATTCTGATTTGGCCTTTATCAGAATTATTTATATACACAGATATATATATAGCAAACTATATTTTAGATATATGTATTGGGCATTTTCAGATCTGAAGGAAGACTTCCGATTTCATTAATTTCTTTGAAGTTTTTAAATCCAAATTTGCGTTGCTGTTGCTTGCATGTTAACCAATTTATCATTTGGAGTTTACTTGTCACATTAACTGGTTGGCTATGTTAAACTGAAAATTGACTTGTTTCTCTTTGATGGTTCAATGGAAATTCAATTTGTTCAAGTGCTCAAGACAAGCTACATGATAATGTGCAGGTTGCATGCTTTGTGAGCTTGGCTTGCATTGTAACTTTGGTTCTATAGTGTCGGCATTATGTCCCGTCCTGGTTTTAAAAATTTGGTAGCAAAAACTAATTAACCTAAGTATATGATTATTTATTGGAAATTCATTGTTTTACGTTATCACTTAAGTTTGTCTCAATTCATTTTCTTCTTGTCCTTTTTTCATTTCAAAGTAAAACCGAAGTGTCATCAATGTTGTCCAATTATTAGATTTACTAAATCAATTATAACATTTATTAAGTGTGATTTGGTTACAAATAAATAAATTCCTCTAAGATAAAAAGGCCTCTAAGACTGAAGTTAATTATAAGGATAATATTTTTTATAAAAAGTTTTGTTATTTTATAAGACATTTTTTTTTTTTTTTTCAATGAAAATTTCAATATTTCTAGTTAATTAACAAATTTTTAATGTACTCTCTCATGCTTACCCTTACATTAGCGTATAATTGTGGCAATACAATAAATAAATAAAGTTCAAAGTTTAATTAAAAAGGTTTGCAATTAATACAAACGAAATATGATTATAATTTTACCTTGATGTAGAATCATAAACTTAAATATTATGATGGAATAATTATTTCATTCCAACTCTTACTCCAACAAACCAAAACTTCAGTTTTCTCAGCACTCATACAATCCAAATTCAAAAACCCTCAAGCAAACAAAATGTTAATCAATACACTTTTGTTACATAATGCTCACTTCAATATTCTCCTTCAGGTGAATACAAAGCAAAAATTTCTCGTGTACTGTGAATATTGGTTTGGCAAGACACATTGAGCAAACATAATATGAAGATTATAAAATTACTTTTAGAGAAAGAGAGAGAGAGTTGTTTTGATAAGAATGTTTAAACAGATAAATGGATGCACTTTCGAAGATAATTTTGTTGGTTCCATTACAATATTATTATTTGATTTTAGTTTTTGAAACTCAAATCCATAATGTTCAAGGTTATTATCAGGATTAACGAATTTAATTTATTTTATGAGGCCATGAAATTTTGATTAGGATTTAACGTCAGGTGTCAGGTGTGTATTTGGTTGATATAATCAAAAGTCGCTATAATTTATCATATTATACTCTTTATTTTTCTACACATATTTTCATAAAAAATCAACTAAAATATAGGGAATTATATCTCAGTGGGAGAGTTGTTTTTTACGCGAAAGCATTTCACTCGCACCCATCACAGAATTACTTAGGTAGTGTTTGGTTGTGTTTTGTAAATGTGATTTGAGAATATGAGTTGTATTTTGAGTTTGTGTGTTGTGAAATTATGATTTGAGTGTAGAAAATTTGTTTGGTAAAGAGTTTTGAAAATAATTTTGGAAAAAAGGTTTGATTTGAGTGGGGAATTATTGATGTGACATTTGATATGTGATACAAAAATTTACAACTCATAACTAAACATACAACTCAAAATTATTTTAAAGCACATGAAAAATTTAAAAATTTTCAGAAAATATTTGTCCCGATTATGTAAATCAATTGCAAAAAAAAAAAAAAAAAAAAAAAAAAACCTGTACAGCAGAGGACATCCAGGTGGATGTCCCCGCCTGTGCATCAGAGTTCTCTCTGCAGAGTGTAGAAAATTGATTTGAAAACGAAACCAAACATCATGCTCCAACACACGGGTAGAAAATTGATTACAGAGCACAACCAAACAGAGCCTTATATTTTACATATTTTATTTTATTTTCACTGTGCTATAATTTTTCCACTAAAATACTCTTTATATAATGCCAGATAATGGGCCTACTTAAATCTTGAAAGCCCACACATCCGTGAAAGTTGAAGTCCTATAGAATTCTATAGTACTTTCCTGATAATACACAAAAAAGATGAAGGTGTTTTATGTAATTTTATTGAAATAGCTCACCAGCACAAACCCTAGCCCTCGAGAGCCTCTATTTGCATACACCATTTACCCTCTTTACAAGCACTTAATGAATTTTTTTTTTATTACATTTCAGTCCCAAAATGAAACTACCAAAATAACCTTCCTCTTCTCCCCCAACCCCCGTCTCTTTCAGTCTAAAAACCTAACCCTAACCCTAACCTTACCCCTAACCATCATCCTCCATGGCCGCCGCCTCTCTTTTCCTCTATCACTGCCGTAACCTTTTCCTTCACCACTGCAACTCCCTTTCATCTGCGAACCCATTGCCTTCCCGCTTCTCTTCCCCACCACGTCGGGCATCGTGGAATTGCCGCCGTTCAGACTACTAGTGTTGAACGAATCGCCTCCGTTCGAAAATTAACCATCGAACCAATGAATTTGGTTCGACTATCACCATCCGAACAAAGCACACTGGTTCGACCATCAACATCCGAACCCCCTTTCGTCTGCGAGCCGCCGTCGCCGTTCGTTTGCGAGTCGTTGTCGCCTTCCTTTTCGCAACCGAGAGGAGAGAGAGAAGGGGGGTCGCCGGTGCTGTGTCATCGTCGGCAAGGTGGTTGCTGCCTAGGGTTAGGGTTAGGGTTTGATCGTTGTTGGCTGGTGTGGAAGAAGGTGTGTGAATTGGGAGCGTGTGTATGGGTATACCTGGAATAAAATTGTGTGTGTTGAGTAAATTGATTTTTTTTTTTTTTGTGTGTGTGTGAATTAAGAAAGATGTGTAAAAAGAGGAATGTGTGTGTGTAAATAGAACCTCCCTGCCTTCCCGCTTCTCTTCCCCACCACGTCGGGCATCGTGGAATCGCCTCCGTTCGGACTACCAGTGTCGAACGAATCGCCTCCGTTCGGAAATCAACCATCGAACCAATGAATTTGGTTCGACTATCACCATCCGAACAAAGCACACTGGTTCGACCATCAACATCCGAACCCCCTTTCGTCTGTGAGCCGCCGTCGCCGTTCGTCTGCGAGTCGTTGTCACCTTCCTTTTCGCAACCGAGAGGAGAGAGAGGGGGGGTCGCTGGTGCTGTGTCGTCGTCGGCAAGGTGGTTGCTGCCTAGGGTTAGGGTTAGGGTTTGATCGTTGTTGGCTCGTGTGGAAGAAGTTGTGTGAATTGGGAGCGTGTGTATGGGTATACCTGGAATAAAATTGTGTGTGTTGAGTAAATTGATTTTTTTTTTTTGGTGTGTGAATTAAGAAAGATGTGTAAAAAGAGGAATGTGTGTGTAAAGAGAACCACCCCTAGCCCTCTCTATAAATTCCACACAGAACCCTAATCTTCTCTCTTCACTCTGCAGGCAAAAATGTCCAAGCGAGGTCAGTTTATCTCTCTCTCGATCTCGACGTGTATGTATGTATGTATGTATGTATCGTTTTCATGGTTTTTGGGTGATTGTAGGGCGTGGAGGATCGGCGGGGAACAAGTTTCGCATGTCGCTGGGTCTGCCGGTGGCGGCGACAGTGAACTGTGCTGACAACACCGGAGCGAAGAATCTCTACATCATTTCGGTGAAGTGCATCAAGGGAAGACTCAACCGCTTGCCCTCGGCATGTGTAGGAGATATGGTGATGGCCACTGTGAAGAAGGGCAAGCCTGATCTCAGGAAGAAGGTCATGCCCGCTGTCATCGTCAGGCAGCGCAAGCCCTGGCGCCGAAAGGACGGTGTTTTTATGTACTTCGAAGGTCTCTATCATCAAACTTATGTTTTTTTGTTGATTATACTCATTGTGATATCAAATCTGTTTGTTTTGTGCTTTTGTGGTTACTTTTTTATGGGTAATTTCTTCTTGATTATACTAATTGTGATATCAAATGGGTTTGTTTTGTGCTTTTATGGTTACCCTTTTATGCTTCTTAAAAGGGTTTAATTTAATGTTTCTTGTTGATTAGACTGATTGTGATTTGAAATGGGTTTGTTTTGTGCTTTTCTGGTCACCTTTTATGCTTCTTGAGGTTGTGTTTGGTTGAGGATTTGATGAGGGAAATGGAAAGGGAAAGTGAAATAGAAAGAAAAGGAGAAAGAATTGATAGGATTTGAATTCTAAGTTAGGTTTGGTTGAGTTGGGAAATGGAGAAAGAAAATAGGATAAGTGAACCAAAAAGACAAACAGTGGATTTGCATTTCCCCCTCACTTTCTTTTCCCCTGTGTTCTCCATTATAACCAAACAAAATGTGAGATTGCATTTCCTTTCCCTTTTCATTTCTCTCATCAATTCCTCTAACCAAACACAGCCTAAATGTTTTAATATTGAGTTGTTTAGGTAGTAATTGGATGACTATAAGTTACATTGCTTTATACAAGTTGTTTATAGATTTATGAACTTGGTTGATCATACTCATTGGAATTTATTGTATGTTAGCTGTATTGCTTCTTAAATCTACTTTTTCAATTGTCTCTGCTGGGTTGTGAAATTTTAGGATGACATGATATGGAAAAGAATGTATGCTGGTATAGCAGCATCTTGATAAGTGAATTTATCATTCACGAATGATAATCTGGTGCTTCTTGAGACCAGCCACATTAAATGTCAATCATTAGATCGAGTGGGTTATTATCTCTTAATCTGTACCTGCTCTGTCGTGGTCTGATACATTTCATCCTTTTCCTTTTTGTCTCTTAATCTCTCCTTTGTCCTCACTGTCATGATTGATTATTTACTACAAACATCTATTTGGTTTTCATTCTCCCTTTTCTCATTTTGTAATCTAGGTTTAATAATGAGCTTAAGGGGAATCTATTTCTTCTTGGTTATTTCGGCTGGTGATGTGGTGTGAGAATTACATTATCTATTTAGGGTTTCTCTACACCTCCCATACCCAGCTAAATGCACGTTACCAATCTTGCCCTATATTGGATGATAAATCTGTTTATCACCCCTGTCAAGATTGGGATATGTGAGTCTGAGTTTATCGTCATCTTCTTTAATCTGTCATGAACACTAATTTTTTGAACCATTGGATTATTATGGTTTTTGGACTAATTTGATTTAACCTGTGTATTTGTCCTTTCCAGCAAGGTTTCTCTTCAATTAATTGTCAATGTGTAAATTTTAAACTTGGCCATCCTCATTTCATGTCTTTTGCTTGTTTTTGCGATAAATTTGAGATCGTTACAAGCTTTTGAGGCTTAATTTGCAGATGAAGAGCATGGAATCTATGTTAGTTAGGGGAAGTTTTTATGTGTATTGGATCTCTTTTAACCTCCCATCTGTAGCTTTTTTCCTTGAAAACCCATGTTTATTATTTTGAATGCATTAATTTTTGTCAAAGAATCTCAAGTTAGTCCACAAAAGTCTCTTTTTGGTACTTTCAGTTAGTTTGTAAAAGCCGCTTTTGCTTGCTGTGTGATTGGTGCTCTTTTCCTTCAGTCTTCTCTTAGAAAACCAAAATTGGATTGTTTAGTCATTCCAACAGTGAGCAAATATCACCAGACTAAGTCAGGTATCCTCCTTTATGTGTGGTTGATACAGTTACATGTCTGGAAAATCAACAGTGTCTATCGTTACAGATGTGCTGATGCTCCTCAAGATCACATTTGCTCCATTTAGGCCTTACATGTCTATTGTTTGATATATGCAATTGGACCATTTTCTGGGAAGTAGTTGTGCATATAAGCAATTGGAAACCCAATTGTGTTGTATTTATGCCTTTTGTTATCAATATTGTCTTATTATCTCATCTCCCCACTCTGCACTGCAATTGTATTGTTGTGATTTTCTGCTTCTTATGTAATACTTGGCTTACTTGCTAGTATACAAGCATTTCTAACTTCTAACAAAAAAGTTTGCTTAGATCAAGAAAAAATTATTTGGATATCCATGAGCTTTAATCTGCCGTTACAGTTCTTTATTTGATGCAATTACTAGCTTGGGAAAAAATGTATATTGTTTCAGATGCATCAATGCTTTTCAAAGCATCTAAAGTTGGTCCACAATAGTCTCTTTTTGGTGCCTCCTTTCTTCTTTTGTATTGCTGAGTTGGCTGGTTTAGATTGCTAACTGAGGATTTATTTTTCTTTTCCAAGAATCAATTGAATGTTCTTTTTGATGTTGCTAATATATACTTTTTGCATTATTGCAGATAATGCTGGTGTCATCGTTAATCCAAAAGGAGAAATGAAAGGTAAGTTATCATTTTAACAAATTTAACTCAATAATTTTTTTAAACCAAATTAAGAGATATTCCCATGAACATTTGATTGATTGATACATTATTGCAACCCTTTTTATGTTTGGAACTGTTAAGAAAGAAACAAGTCTTTTGTCGCATTTGGGCCTATTATTAGTCTCTCTGATATTTCTATTTGGTAGAAGTGCCCATTCTTTCTATAAATTGTGTATAGCCTTTTCTTCCCCTTCTCTCTTTTTAAAACTAAAATCCCAAACTAAAGCATTGTTTATCTGTATGTGATTTTCTTGTTTCTTTGCCTTGTTGTAAGGAGAGTTGGTGGTTGTTACATTTTGCGTCCTTGTAAGGTCCTACTCCGGGCTGTTATATGTTTCCTATATTGTTTGACTAAATAGAAAATGTCATATCTTATGGTTTGAATTTTTGAAATTATTGATTCTGGCAATAGCAAGAAGTATTTTGAGTATAATTTTTTGAATATTCTTCGAAGAATTTCTAGTAGGGAATTGTACATGTTCAATCAACTTGGCTGTTGATATGATATTAATTATTTATTGGTGTTTTGGTGAGAGGCTCCTCAATGAAACCAATTCACCAAAGGAAATTTGAGCTTTATGAAATTCAAAATATCTTATTATGGATGGTAAATCAATTCATGGAAGTAATGTGGATACCAACATAATTTTTTTGGGGGACCTCTCAAATTAAAGACCTTCCTTGCACGGTTGACTTGCTGCTTCTCACACCACCTTTAAATGAGGGGCTTGTTTAACAATTTCTTCTTCACTGTTTATTCCAGTGTGAGTTTGTTTTTTTTTGGCTATTTTATGTGTCTAACCACTGGCTTCATGGTGTTTCAGGATCTGCTATTACGGGTCCAATTGGCAAGGAGTGTGCTGACCTGTGGCCTAGGATTGCTAGTGCAGCCAATGCTATTGTCTAAGTTCTGAACTGAAAGGGAAGTCGAAAGACTTGAAGAAGCCTTGGAAGAACTAAGCAATTGAAGTAGTGCTATGGATTTATCCAAAAAAATAGTCTCATGTTCTCATGTCTTAGATTTACACCCCAAAAAATGTTTTAGATTTATGTTACACAGTAGAATATACTCTTTTGCTGAGAGGTGCTTGACCTTGTTTTCAATTTTGGATTGTAAGTGTTCATCGTTGGCAATGACGTGTTTGTTATTTGCTTGGCTTTTTGAAGTATTTAAAATTGGGGGGTTTGAATTTGTCTATGTTTTATTGTTGGTAATTCTTTGACGAGGAATTTCAGGATGCAATGGAGTACAATTTTTGTTTTATATTGTATTGATTTTATGGTATTGTGGTTTTTTAAATTTATTTTTAATAAATCAAAATGATTAAGATGCTGTCAGGTGACATTTTTTTAATGAACATGGTTGCATACAATTGTACGACCAGCCTTCGCTTGGTTTGAGTAGTCTTTTGCTCTCGTTTGATAAACTAATTAAGTTCAAACTTTAATAAGCTCATAAAGCTCGCTCTAGCATGATTATTAAAGTAGTAATGTTAGCTATCATGAAATAAATATTATGAAATGTCTTTATGAAGATTTTTCATACTTCGATTAGTTATAGTGTTTTATTATATGTTATGCAATCACCCTTTAATTAGTTTCATAAATTTTTTTATGATATTTATTTTATGATGCGTAACATTACTGAGTTCAATTGAAACTCTCACTTAATCTATCACTAGCATCCTTGAAAATTGAAACTCACACTTAATCTACCACTGGCATCCTTGAGAACCTGAAAATCAGGAAGACGATGATGGCAATACCAGTCCAAAAAAAATTAATACTTGAAGGATGATGACGGCAATATTAATACAAAAAAAATGTGCGCACATGTAAAATTGGGCCAACTCCCCTTGATTTTACTCGTTTGTAGTCTTATTTTTAGAAAATAATATGACCAAAATCTAGTATTAAAAAAGATATAAAAACACAATTTTTTTTAAAAAAAACATAAAGTTCTATTTATTTAAATGCTCTAGTTGAGTTACATTTTGGTGCCCAAATTTGTTAGAATTTGCAGCAAAAGGACTTAGAGCATATATCCTCGGAAAATGCTAGAGGTCCCAAATTTTCTACCAAATAAATGACTAAATGTCTCACATGGGTGTGGGGTCCACAAAATTGCAGACCCCACACCCATGTGAGACATTTGGTCATTTGTTTGGTAGAAAATTTGGTGTCCCTAGCATTACCCTATATTCTCAGCACTCCTACGATTTTGGGTTACATTATTGCTCAACAAGTGTCCTGTACATTGGCATAAGCTTGGCTGATCTCAACCGATGCAAATATGATGATCAAGGCAATAAGAACATTCCGCGAGTTCCATTGCACGTTGCAAGCTCATTTAAATTGGCACTATAATCATATATTGGCACTAATTTCGTGTTGAGATTTTCTATCTCAAAAAGTAGTTTGTCCTTTTGTTCTATCACAAAAAATCATATGATTTGTTTATTTTTTAAATTAAAAATTAATTAAATAACATATCATGCAACTATAAGCACATGAAATGAACATTTTGAGGAGAGAACATCCATGACATTTTTTTCATATACATCCAATCAAATCAAGACAATTCCTTTGTAAAAAAAAAATGGTGTCAATTATCTTTGTTCTCATTCACATTTGAAAGCATTTAGGCTCCACATCTCCATCAAATGGATTTTTTTCTTCTTCTTCTTCACTTAAAGCCATTTGAACACCCTATCATGTGATCTACTAGACAAGTAAAAGACATGGTGACAACTAATTCCAATATAATACCCATGTGACCCCACTTCAACCTGTCACCAATTCCTCCTTAAAATCCCAATTCTCTCTCTCTCCCCCTCACTCTCCAAAACCTCATTGTACCTCTGTTGTCAAACATGACAACAATGTGGAAAAACTTCGGTAGCGTTTGTTAGAGTTTTAGAATTATAATTTGATAATAAAGTTGTATTTTGAATTTGTGAGTTTTGAAATTATAATTTAAGTATGAAATATTTGTTTGATTATAAATTTTGAAAAGAATTTTGATTTGAGTTTGAAATGAATGATGTGATATATGATATTTGATTAAAAAACTTACAACTCATAACCAAACATACAACCCAAAATTCTATTCAAAGTTCATAAAAAAATTTTAAAAAAATTCTGAAAATATTTTTTATTTAAAATATAAAAATAACAGGTGCAAAAAAAAAAAAATCCGAATACTGTTCTGGTCAAATGGCCAGACATCCAAGTAGACGTGTTTGCAAAGGTGGGTGTTGAATCAATTTTTGAAAACTATAACCAAACACCTACCCCAAACCGACTATAACCAAACACCTACCTCAAACCAAGCGGTGAAATTAACTCTAGAAAGCTCTACCAAACAGAGCCTTCACTTTTCTCTTACCTTTCTTGGGTGTTTGCATTGGTTTGATAGCTGCAGATTGGAACATTTTGAACCAGAAGGGAAAACATGGGGTGGAAATCACCTTGAAAAATTACTGTGAGAGTTGGAGGATGAATGTTGAGCTTCACAACATCTGGGAATTCGAAGTTGTGGCCAAGGAATGCACGGAATACGTTGGAAAATACATGAACTCAATCCAATACAAGGTGGACTCAGAGAGGGCAGTTGATAAGTGCACTGTGTTTCTTAGCGCTAGCTGCAGCTTGAAGAGAGATGGCAGAGATGCCTGGATTTTCAACATCCACGACACACTCTTGTCGACCGTGCCATACTACAAGAAATACCATTTTGGGTAAGTTTGATCTGTACTGTAAATTCGCTAATCCTATAATCATTTTACAATATTGGCATGTTTTTGGTAAAATGGGTATTTTTTTTTTTTTTAATGTGACATAGGGGAGAAAAGTTGAACATGAGCTCTTTGGAAGAGTGGCAGAGTAAGGCTAAAGAAACAGCTCTTGAACACACATTGAAGCTTTTTAATGATCTAAAAGGAAGAGGAATGCATATCATTTTGGTTTCTTCAAGAAGAGAGCAACTTAGAACAGCCACTATTGACAACCTTGTTGATGTTGGTTTCCACGGGTGGACTAGTCTTATTCAAAGGTTTGAGCTTATTTATCTATTGAAAAATATCTAACAGATCTTATTTTTCCTGATAAATATGATTTAGTCATATTTACCATCATATTAATAGGACTCACTGGTACTATAATCAGAAAAGAATTGACTAAGTAAAAAAAATTTCATTTTTAAAGTAATTTTATGTACTTAAATGTATGTTTGATTGGAACATTATTATCCTTTTGATGTAGGGGACCAAGTGATGAATATAAGGAAGTACAGAAACACAAGGCTGATATAAGGAAGCAATTGATTGAACAAGGGTATCACATTTGGGGCATTGTTGGAGACCAATGGAGTAGCATTAAGGGACTCCCTACTGCTAAAAGAACATTTAAGCTTCCAAATCTCATGTACTATGTTTCTTGATTGATCAAGAGAGACTCTGTTTACAAGATTTGTCTTGTGATAAAAACTCTATATTTTATGTTAGAAATTAACAAAAATAAGCTATGTTTGTATACTGTTGATGAGTTGATTGATTTTTATCGAGAGTCTGCATTTTCATTCGCCCTTGCACCATTGTTTTGTTGGCCCTTTGGGTATGTATATATATGCTTGTGCATCTCAACTTCTGGAACTATCCAACAATACTTCTGCTAAAGTAAATATTTAGGAAAAAGATATACACGAATCTTATACTCAAACCTGTCAAAATGCTAGTGGCAAATCTTACAATTAAGTCGAGTTGCCCTTTTACTAGATGATATTCCAACTTCAGTAATTTTCACTTTTCCTAAGTGACCATAAATAATCGGTACTAAAGTTAAACTTACCAGCTTGAGGAGCTCTCAACTTACAAAAGCATTTAATAATGTCGCTTTGAAATCAAAGAATATTGAAAAAGTTTCTCCCTTTTCCAAAGATTACTGATTTATCGTGTTAAGTTATGGAAATTAGGAACGTCCATTCACATATAGCACAACGGAGCTTATAAACAGATTTGATTGTTTACCCCCTAAATCTTGGGATTCTGTTCTTCTGAATTGAGGAGAAAAAATGATACAATTACATGCTCTAAATCTCAATCTCTCCCCTAAAAGTGCAGTGACATTTTTGACATTATGATATTTGGAAATGAGAGAACCAAAATCAGCTACTACATAGAAATTTTGTACGAAAATTCAGCATTACTCAAACCCTTACATTGCCTTTTCATTTTATTTACTCAGATTTTATTGCACACACTAGGCAAATCCATTACATACACATCCAACAGACATATATATGTCTATAGACAAGTCTAGTAGCAGAATGTTTAGCCACAACAAAGTCAAAATATGCACAAAACAGAATTACCTCATATTAAGTGATTTTCACAACTACTTGAAGTAGATGGCCATTTATAGCCACCACAAAAGCCAACATTGGTTCAGCCCATCTTCTCCTTGCCGCCCATCTGCATCTTGGCACAATACTCAAACAAACTCCCATCAAAGCAGCGCCTAATGGCTTCCTTGGACAGCAAACCTTCCTCATCCCTAGCGAGAACATACAGTACTCCCCACTTAAACTTACTTGCAAACCTTCCAAAATAGCAGTGAAACAAATTATTAAGCTAAAGGAATCCAAAGCAACATTAATGGAAATAGAATGTAGTGTGCAAATCTTGGCACAAACCAGCCAAAGATGTCAAATGCTTCTTGATTTCCCTGGGTCATTTCCCAGATCTCTCCAAACGTGAGCTTGTCGGGGACTGTGCGAGCGTACTTGCTAAAGATGTTTTCAAAGTTCACAGGCATGTACCTGCATATTTATTGGATATGGAATGCAAACGTAAACAACATTAGAGAATTGTAAACTACATTAGATGATCTATTCGCATTACTTGTGAATTCTGATATGCTTACCTTCCTTCATTGTCATAAGTTGAGGACTCACTCCCATGCTTGCTTTTATGGATGTTGGCAATGTATATAGGGAGAAAAGGAGAAGGTATCCACCCCTACAAAAATACCAGTGCGAAGAATGATACGAGGGAAAAAAAATCACTGGTGTTTTTGCTATTTTAAGCAATGACTGGTTATGATTGAAACTAGAGCCCTCCGCTTCAATAGTTTAATTTCATTGTCTAAAGCTAATTCATTTAATTTCTGTTGTATTTTAGCCTTACAACGATTAGCATAGTAACCAATTTGTCCACATTTGTAACATTTAATTGTAGTCTTATCCTTTTGAGGATAAGTTTTCTTTTGTTTTCCTTTGGCCTTTGAAGGCTGGATTTGCTGAACTGGTTGTTTATAATATTTCTTTTTTCTGTATTTTTTCGATACTTATGTTTTTTATGCTTATGTTTGGATGGATACTGGATTTTAGTATCATAGGCAAATTGTTCACAAAATTCACCTAATTCATTATGACTTTGTTTTTTCATTTGATTCTGTAATTTTAGATCATTGCAAAGGACAAGACTTTCTTCTATAACAATTCTTATGAGTTGGCCATAAGTATATTCGGAATAAGGAATAGACATTTTACTATGCTTATCCCTTAATTTCTTTCTAATTCTTTCAACAAAGAGGGTAGGAAGACCACCAATGAACTTGGCTTTCTAATGTTCACTATTGGCGTCAGATCGTCTTATTACTCTCATCATGAACACATCTTTATACCATCGAAAATGAGATAAAGATGGACATCTTAGATTCTATAAAAGTTCCCTACTCCTATCTTCTAAACCATCAGGAGAAGCTCCTACAAAATGGTGTAGAATTGTGTTGATAAGAGTATAAACAGCGTCCTGTTCAGATTGAACAATGCCTGTTAATGGGTCTGTAATTCTTTTAAATGCTGTAAGAATTTCTGCTTGTTGAGTATCTGTAATGATGTTATCCCACCATCCTTTAAGGATGCCAGTAAAACCATTGACTAAGAATCGAGCGATCTCATGATTGTCATTCTCATTCTGTTTGCAAATTGTTGAATACATGATCATTTGATGTAAGAATTCAAATATCTGGTATTCCGAAAGACCATCTATGTTCCATTCATAAATGGTTTTTCCATGATAGGATTTTTGTGTTTGTAAAAAATCTTCTTCATAGAGAATATCTATAGGAGTACTGCGAGTATAAAAATGTCTTGTTGGAGCAGTCCTATGATTATTTCTTGAAGATTCTCCATAATGGACTTTATGTATGGAGATTGGATTGTCCTAAAAAACATTTTCAATTTCTGCAATTTGAGAGAGTGATAAATTTTCTTCTTCTGGAATATTTTGTCTGGATAACATATTAATAGAAGAGGATTCTCCTATTTTAAGATGTTTTATCTTATCGACAAGAGTATCCATAAATTCTGTATCTTTCTTAGTAGAAGATAACTTAAATTTGGTTACTTCTAAAGGAGGTTTAATTGTTACTGGAATAATTTCAGTTTTAACCTCGGATTTTGGTTGTAAATGACAACTGTCTTTGATAATTAACAGTTTCTTCAATTCTGGTAATTTGTTTGCCTGCTGTTTGACAAAACAAATTTGTATAATTATGCTGTTTTAAAATAGGAATTAGATCTTGGACAAGGACTAGATCCCTATTCTGAGATTTGTGAGGTATTTCCATATAAGCAGCAATAGCTAAAGGTTTTGTACCCGTACCACTACTTACAGGTTGTAACTCCAAAGGCTGGGTTGGTGGATGGATAGACATAAAGTTTTGACCATCTGTACTAACCCAAGTTTGCTGGATTTTTTCAATTACATTTATTTGAGATTCTGTAGGGGTTATGTTTTGAACATACCAGTGAGGGAAAGACTGGATTATCTGGTGTTGTTCTAGATATTCATAATACTGAATTTTATATTGTTCTAATTGCAAAGGAGTATGGATTTTAAAATACCATTCCTTGAATGTTCTGTATTCTTCTTTCTGTAAATCCTCATTAAGGACTAATATGATTTTACTACCTGGCTTAAAATCCATTAAAGTTCAAAATTCATGTCATTGGCTGTAGGGCTGTAAGGCCGCTTTTTTTGCCTTCTGGATCCATAAATACCATGTGGTATTTGGTTTTCTGAAAATTGTACCCCCTGAACTATAGGATCTGTTTCAAGTTGGGTATCACTAGGAGGTCTGGATTGTGGTCTTATAGACTCAGCTGGTTCAGAGTAAGACTGTCTAGATGATTTTGGCAGATCTACTCTGTATGATAGAGCAGTTCTGTAACTAGTACTAGACATACTTCGGGAAAGAGATCTAGGTGGTCTCTTGAAAGTGAGGAACACATTCTCGCCTTGGGTCTGAATAACCTCATCTAAGGTTTGCTGAATAAGTGGCCTAGCTGGAATAGCTTGGTTTATCTGCCATGTTTCTGGAAACTTGATTTCTTCCCAAGGTATCATTTTGGGTATTGCTACCTGGCTACTGTAAAGGTTTGTATCAATTAGGACTGTGTGTCCTACTGGACTTTGTTTCCTAATGTAAGGATTCAAAGTTGTTAAAACCTTAAAGTAAATTCTGGAAATTACCGCATAAGGTGGTGATCTTGGAAGATATTCGTATCCATTAGACAACACTCTAAGTTCTAAAACTTTAGATAAGTTTGCATCAGAGAGTGCTACACTTAAATTTGGATAAATATCAAAATATACTGGACCATGTGAGAGACTAGTTTCTATAGCTCCCATGAGTGATGCCCTCCAATCAGTACATCTTCCATCTCTGAGCGTACACTGGAGACTGGTATTTTGACCTAAAAGTGTCAAAGACTTGAAAGCAATCTGGACAAGTCCTATATGGACATACTTATATTTCTAGATAAAAGGATATAAATCCTGGAAATGAAGGAGATATATTATCTCATCATTATTCTGGACAGGCATAGCATGCTCAAATGTTTTGATTATTTTCTTACTGGAAAAGTCAAAAGTTCCTATCTTATAGATAGTATCTGGTTTGACCTTAGGGATAGTCCACTTATCAAGGGCTTCCTTCACATCCTGGTAAGCAACGAGTTCTCTGGCCTCTGATGTAGAGGCTACTGTATTGGCTACTGTATTTGCCACTGAGGCTACTTCTTCTGTAGGTTCAGTACTCATGTATGGATGTATGTGACCATATATGTATAATTAAAATTAAATAAAACTAACTATAATGAACATTAAACATGGCTCTGATACCAATAATGTGCTTGACACAGGGCAAAGCTAGCATGTCTATCAACGACTTACGTGATCAAATGACCTAACCGCAATCACTGCTAATGGTCTGACACTACGTGACTTGGGTGACGTCCCACTAACCCTAACTCTATTCTACCCATCATTTAGCACTAACCCAGGAATAATATTTATTATAGTTTTATTTTATTTTATCTTAATTATGCCATATACGGTCTCATGATCCACTGTGCTGGAGGGGGAGGCCGAATGGCCACAGCCAAAAGGCAAATTTGCTCTTGTAATTGAGTTTGGACTTGGACAATTTTTTGATTACAGTTTTCTAATTCTTGGAGACCCCAAGAATCATTAGGCCAGATAATATTCAATATTATTT